CTCTTTCACTGGAGGTACCTGGAAGTGATGCAGATCAAACCAACTATTTTTGGTGCAGTGTTATCTTTGCAGCTAAGCCTTCCCAAACCCTGTTCCCTACAGCCCCTTGAGAATGCAAAACTTGGCCCAGAGAGGAGTGAGACCTTGGTGGGTGAAAGAGGCTTTGATTCAGCCACAGTGAGACCCTGTGGGGCTCTGTCCAGATCCCAAAGCTGCTCACACCTCTGGGCAGATCCCACGTGTCTTCCAGATGGCTCCAGCATTGTGTGCATGGGTCCAGCAGCTGCCACACACCCACGGGTGAGCAGCTTCTCCAGGAGAGGACGTGCTTCATGCCATAAGGACAACCCTAACAGCACCCTTTCCTCTTATTGTTTGCCACTGAGAAGGGCAAATCCATCAGGAGAAGCAGCATTAGTTCAGTGTTGAGATGATGGGCCTGGGGATCACCTGAGTTTTAGGGGCTGCAAACAAGAAGATGAAGCAGCAAATATGTTGTTGGGGAAAATTCCTGAGCCTTTGCCTTGTTGTTGTCTTGGTTGCTGAACAAACTCACAAATCACCTCCTGTTTAAGGGAAAATCCTCCCCCACTGACCAGCCCGAAAGCATCAGGATTAATGTCAGCCTTAATTTTCAGTTGTCACTTGCAGGGAAACATCATCCCTGCATATTTCATAAATATAGGCTGAATTTTGAAATCCCTGAGAAATGAAAACACTCTCAATTTTTCAAAACACCCAGGAATGGCTCAGGAGGAGCAGTAACTTCTGCAGCAGAAGGCAGGATGGCCTCCTTCACAGCTGGCTTGCCATCGTTTATCCAGTGAAAGCTGTCCCACACACAGGGAATAAATTGTTCAATGTGCTCTGTTTCTTGACACCCTGATAATGAAAACCTAATTAGTGTGAAAGTGTAGTTTATTGGGTCAGCTGGTTTGACAAAGCTCTTCCACCCAACTGTGGTCCAGCCTGGGCAAACCCTGGGGATTGACTGGAGAAAGACTGAACAGCTTTGGTATTTCCCTCTTCCTCTGGATGTTGTAGTTTTACTCGACACCAGGAGCAGGAGTGATGATGAAATTCTCTCTCTGCAGTGTTTCCCACTGGAGTAAGAAAATATACAACCAGATCTCTGCAAAAGGGCTTATGAGATTGCCAACCTCATTTCTGCAAAGTACCTGAACAGGAGCAGCACATCCCGGCTGTGGACCCAGCTGTAACACACTCCAGCCTTTGAGGGTGTCTGGGATCAGGGATTTTTGGCCATGTCTAGCTCTTGGTCCTGCAAGACCCTCCCATGCCTCGTGTTCGTCAAGGGTTTGATCTAAGGCTCTGTAATGACTCCCAGGCTCGTGAGGGTGGGAGATACCACACCGTCCTCTTTAATGAGTGATGGGGCTCAAATTAACATTCAGAGTATGAAAAGGAAGTATTGAAAGGGTGTCTCATTATTTCTGATGTCAAACACTTTACAGGGAAACCCAAGATCAGAGCAGATCTGGGGGGAGTGGGTGTGAAGTTGGGTTTGTGAGTGAAATCGGGCCCTTCATGGGGATGAGTGGTGAGGTGATTAACTGCAACTGCACAGTGACCTATCTGGGCTTTGATTAATTTGTTAACGAGCTGATGATGAGCGACACCGTGTCTATCTTAGTGTCAACCTTACTATGTGTCACTTATCCCTGGAGATTTAAATCAGGCAAAGATGCATTTGAATGTAATTTTGGACTTGGGAAGGTGGCTCTGGGAACATTAATTGCAGCTGATTTTCGCTTTGAAATTTTGGGCTGATTCAAAGCCCAGAGCTTCTTCTTCCTTGACAACCTGACAGAAGGGCCATGGTTTGATCCCTTGTATGAACCTCCCTGTTTTCCATTTGCAGCCATTTTCACAGATTTCACAGAATATTCTGATTTGGAAGTGACCCAGAAGGATCATCGAGTCCAGCTCTTGAGTTCTGCTGATCACAGATGCAACAGCTAATTTCTTTTGCACCCAAAGACATGATGCATCCGTGCCCTGATCCTGCAGACATTTATCATATCTCCCCAGCTTTGCTCATGTAAATATTTCTACTGATTTCAGTGGGACTAATAACACCCAACACAGTAGATGAGACAATGTTTAAAGGGTTGGGGCCTTAAATTGCATCTCTAAAATGCCTCATTTCCCCAGAGATTTCTGAAACTAAGGGATCAACTTTTCGAATGCTGCAAGCTCTGTGTAGGCAGAGGCAGAAGCCCTCATGTTCACAAAGGGATGTAATTTATGCAGACAAAGCAATTTAAGCTAAAATTGATCCAGCGGTACAAAAAGTGATTGGGTCAGTAGTTCGGCAAATAAGAAGGATGAGTTCACTCCACGGGCATTTACAGGGGATAATAAATTAGATCTGGCTGAAATATTTTGACCAGAGGGGTGGGTTTTTTTCAATCACAGCCCAAGTATTATGCAAAAATCCGTTATTTCAGAGCTTCAGGAGGATGGAACTCAGGTCCAGGTGGATGAGGAAAAGGGGTTGCAGTGTGAGCTTACGGATAAAATTCTGGCAGAAGTTCAAAAACTTCTGGAAACTGCAAGCGTTCTTTATATATACTCTAGTGATCATGTAACACTCATAAACAACAGTCGTAATTAGAAACATTTCAAGGCTTTGAAATTGCTTTGCTTCTGGAGGAAAATGAAACTGTTGTTGTGGTGTAATAGAGACTGAACCCCCGGGTCAGGACGTTGCCTGCATGACAAACAGGCAAAGGGGGAACAGGGGTTCTGATCTAAAAAGGGCTGTGAAAGAGGCTCAGCTGCCTCTCAACCAAAACTTCTCGAACCTCCTGGTTTCATTTTTTTTTTTTTTTTTTTGGCCTCCAAGTGAAAACAATTTGCAAAACCTCAAATTGTTTCACGAAATGGAAACAGAGGTTTCTGAGCGGCTGCGGCTTCTTTTTTATTGCCCAGGATATTAAGAAAAGCAGTAGATTGTGACAAAGTTGACAGATTGAAAATGTTTGTCACGTTTTTGCTCTGCATTCATGCTGGAAGCTGCTTAAATACCTATTACCTGTGAGTGAGGATTCCCAGGGCGTTAAGTGGGGAATTGTAATACAAAAATATAAAGCCAGGATTTCACAAGTGACGAATTTGGGTGGATATGAACTGTTCTGTGCTCGTTGCAAACAGATCTTTTCACGAAATGGGGGCTGGTCTTGTGAAGACATTTGAGGGAACAGGGAAGAGCAAAAGAAAATTCTCTCGTTAGTGAACATTTTTCACAGAATATTTTCATATTCTTATTGGAATCTGCACTGATGGGTCTCCAGCATTGGAATGATTTCAGCTGGACTCACCTTAATTTACTGTGTTGTGGTTTTGGTTCATTTTTAGATGCTGCAGTGTGTTTCAAATGGTTGTGTAAAGAAGCCTTTAACAACTGGCACCTTGCAATTTCACGAAAAGACATTTTTCTTTTCACCTTTTAGTTCAAAAACCCAAGAAACCACATCAGAATTGTATCCATTTCACTTCAAATCACAATTTTTCTTTTCTCTCCATTTGATAGCAGGCACTGCTTCCAGAGAAAAGGTCAGAGAGTTCAGGGGGAAAACCAGAATAAGAATTCTTTGTGTTTTTCATGTAAGACAACTCCTGTTTTCTAACAGTTTTGTTAAAGATCTTGCAGCAAAATATCAAAATAGGCAGGAGGAGACGTGCATTCAAAACCTGGTTGTTTTCTACCATTGCAGCCTGGATATTTTCTACATTGCACCTCCTGTCTCTGAGATGCCACACTGAAATCCTGACCACTTCAGCTCCTTGGTGGTGGGGTCAGTGCTGTATATCACTCTCTTACCCATTTTACCTGCAATTAAACTCAAACTGGAGGTTTTAAAGCCACCCAGGAACGTGATAACTAGTTAGGCTGGGAGCATAATTCAAGATTTTTGAAGATGTGTATCACAGCCACCAGCTCAAAGGCAAGTTTGGGCTGTGTTGTCCCTCTGCCTTATTGTGCTGTCAACAGTAATCCTGCATTGGGGGCTCGTGTTTCTGCTGAGTTAGACTGGCTGGATTAATCAGCAGAGCTGGGGGGCTTTCCTTCTAACCAGAAACAAGATGTATGTGCCCCACATGACTCGAACTCTAATAAAAGATGCAAAGATTTGAGGTAATTTCTGGTTTCTTCTCTACTTCCAACATCCAGCTGCCACAGCAGATGGAGGGACCGTGATACTCTCCCTCCATCACTCAGATGTTCAGCTGTTGAACCCTTTATCAAGCTGTAAAATATTCACATGACACTTCCCTGTGCTCCTCAAACCCTTGTTTTTGCTGTCATGCCTGGCAGGACTGAGTGAGAAGGAGGGGAGGACCCAGCTGGTTGGGTGCTGTGGGCCTTTGCAAACTCCCAGGGACGGGCAGGGGAAGGGCCCCATCCTGCTTCAGACTGTCCTGAACCATCATTAATTAGCAAGAAAAAGACATCCCTGGTTATTCACAAAGCTGAACACTGGGTGTTCAGGGAATGGCAGGTTGGAAAATTCAGTTTGAAGAGGTAAAGAGATGTATTATCTCCTGAGTTAGGCAGCAGCTGAACAAGGCTTTGGGGCTCTGCTGACCCATGTGATGATGTGGATCTGGCCCCTTCTCCACAGCCCAAACTCATTTTCTTAAGTAAGAGTGGAACATAGGCTTGCAGGGCACAGCATGAATGAAGTGGTTCAAAAGCTGTGTAAACTATAACAGAACATGCTGGTTTGGAGCAAAGGCTGTGTTTTTAGGAGTGGATTAGCTGCTGCTACAGAACCTCCCATCTGAAGGAGGAAGATGGGTCAGCAAGAGACTTTTACTAGATCTACATCAAGATTTTGGGTAATAATTTAAAAAAAAATGAATTGCCTTAGGTTTCTAAATCCTTGTTTGAAAAAATGGCTTAAGATCTTCCTGGACATCAGGTAACTATGTGGTTGAAATTGCTACCTATCTTCTGAAAACTGTCCTTGGTGTTAGTTTAAACTAATCTGGTTTATTTTACCAGGAACCAGTTGGATCAGAAACCACAAGTCAGCCAGCAGATGTTCTGCTCTGATGTTTTTCTTGGTTGATGGACAACAGTCAGGGCTGCAGATGGGATGTCAGCACAGGATCCCTTTCTCCCAGGCTCTGGCAAGGGAAAAGCAAAGGAAAAAATCAAAGGCTTCACCCACAAAGGGTTGTTCTGCCACGAGGGCTGAGGAGAGATTTGCAGGTGTAGAGCCACAGGGTCATATCAGCTCTGAGCTCAAGATCTTTCAAACCTTTTGTAGTGTGTAAACCTGGATGTTTTACACCAGCACTCAGGTGTGTCTGCAGCAGACTCTGTTTGTGAGCCTGTAGTCAAAAAAACTGTCAAAAAATGGTCCATTAAATGCAGAGATAAGAGCTCTGAAATCAAGAGATCTGAGGGTGGCTCCATGGTTTTGTATGTGAATGGTACATGAGAGACATCAGGAGGAATTTCTTCATGGAAAGGGTGGTCAGGCCTTGGCAGGGGCTGCCCAGGGAGGTTTGGAGTCCCCACCCCTGGAGGTGTCCAAGGAAGGCCTGGCCGTGGCACTCAGTGCTCTGGGCTGGGGGACAAGGTGGGGATGGGCACAGGGGGGACTCGGGGACCTTGGAGGTCTTTTCCAACCTAAATGATTCCGGGATTCTGTGACCTCCCTTGTTTAGCAAACTCAGCCTACTTGAGCTGTGTTCCTCACATCTTGTGGATCCTGTTACTAAGGTCAAAAAGTACCAGCAACAGAAAAACAGGTACCTTGGCAATAGATGGCAAAAGTGGATGGTTCTAAACTGACACCTTCAGTGAGTTAATGCAACTTAAAAAGTGTAATTGCAAACACTGCCCAAGAGGGTTTGTCTCTAAGGCATTTACTGGTAAGAGCTACAAAAGAGTTGGATATAATATGAGCCCCAGGGAACACATATTACAGCAATACCTGCCATAATATGTATGGTTCTTCAGCCAGGTGAAGGGAGCAGCTTGAAGGACTGTTGATGTTCTTCCTCCCCAGGTGAACTCCCCAAACTCACACCAGCACAGTAATGTCTACAGAAGAACTTTAAAACATTGAGGGGGGAAAAAAAAAGTCTTCCCAGACATAGGTTTCTTTCATACGGGTGGATGTGTGTTGTGAAACATCTTTTGTTATAGAATATGGTTTGTAAACTTGGAACCTAACCTAGTGAAAATACTGAGATCAAAGGGGAGGCTGACTTTGATTTCAGCAGCCTTTGGAACAGACCATTAGCTGATAATAATCTATCTGTGCATTTGTATTTGGTTAGTGTCAAATCATTACTTCAGTAGTCAGAAAGGCTTTTTTTTTTTTCCCTTGGAGCTTTCTGTTTGTGCTTTCTTGAATATTTTTCACCATATTGGAGTCCGTGAGAAAGGCTGCCTGGGCAGCTCAGCCAGCAAGGGGATGATGTGAGGGCTTTGCCCCATTCCAAGGGTATCTTGTGTAAGGTTTTGAGTTGTTTTTGCTCTGGATGAGTTGCCATCTCAGCAGGTGGATGCTCAAAAGCACTCGGTGTAGTTCCGTTGTGTAGGGATGGGGTGAGGAAGGTCAAGGCAAAGCTGGAGCTGAACTTGTCAGGGGATACAGAGAATAAAAGAAAGGCTTCCATAGGTGTGTCAGCCAGAAAAGGGAGGTCAAAGAAGGTGCACCCCCTGATAAACAAGGCTGGAAAACTGCTAACAACAGACAAGGAGAAGGCTGAGCAATTTTTTGCCTCAGTCTTCACTGGCAATCTCTCTCCCCACACCTCTCAGTGGATGGACAGCAGGGTGGGGACTGGGGGAGCAAAATCCCTCCCACTGTAAGAGAACATCTGGTTAATGACCACCTGAGGGACCTGAAGAGAGAGCTGCCAAGCCACTCTCCAGGATATTTGAAAAGTCTTGGCAGTCAGTTGAAGTCCAGGTGACTGAAAAAGGGAAAACATTGTCCCCATGTTAAAAAAAGGGTGGAAAGGAGGACCCTGGGAACAACCACCCTGCCAGCCTCACCTCTGTGCCTGGGAAGATCATGGAACAGACCCTCCCACAAGCTCTGCTGAGGCACATGGAGGACAGGGAGGTGATTTGGGACAGCCAGCACAGCTTCACCAGGGGAAAAGTCCTGTCTGACCAACCCAGTGGCCTTCTCTGACAGAGTGACTCCATCAGTGGCCAAGGGAAGTGGCCAAATTGGGGACAGATCATATGGAATCACCCTTCTGTGATTCTGTCCTATGATGCTAAGCTGAGACCTCGTTGGTTCCACGCAGCTGACACGTCCCGCAGCTTGTATGTTGGATAGAACACCACTGACCTGCAACCCTTGCAAATATCTCTTCCTCTTTCCTGCACCATTAATCTGTGTTTAGGATTAACTAGAAAAATATTTGAAGGGCCTTCCTGTTATTTCTAGTTGTCAGATTTTGATGGAGCTGGGCAGTTCAAGCAATGCACGTGCTTAAACCCAGAAGCCTGTAAAACCAAATGCTGCTGACAGTTCACAAGCCTTGAAGAGGAAAGTTTGATTTGGACAGAGTTTTGACAGAGGTTGAGCTGATCCTTGGTTGAACTGATTCTTGCCAGGAAAAAAAAGCATTCCTGTGGTGCAGGTTTCACATGGAAAGTGATGAGGGTACCTGAGGGGCCTGGCTCTGGAGCAGCACTGATGCTCACAGGGTGCTGAGCTGTTCACATCCAAGAAGCATCCCTTTGCTGCTTGTTGGCCAAGTCATATTCTAGACCTGAGATTTGCTGCTTAAGGCAGATTTAAGCCAAAAAACATTTCTCTGAGAGCTTACACCAGAGTTGGCAAGAAGTACCTCTGGCCAAAACCAGAGAAAAAGTTAAAATATTCCATTTGGAAGTGAAACACTCCAAATCTTCACTTGACAAAGGTTTTTAAGTGTTAAATTTACTTCCATTTATGTTTCTTTTAACAAAATCATTTCAGGTTGGGCAAAATGACCCAAATTGGTTTTTCTTTCTGGTATTTCGTTTCAGAGCAGCTCAAATACAATTATCTGAGAAAGGATTTGTTTAATACAGTGAAACAGAACCCGCACTCTCAGAGTCACAAGATGGGCCATAATAACCCATCTCCCAGGTAAACATCTGTAATTCACATCACTAACAAAGTCAGGAAGCTCTTGCTGTCTCTGCCTAACCCTGTCCATTTCTCAGCAATTCTTCCTGCCTGTAAAAAAGTTACCAGCCTCAAAACTTCACTATTTGTCCTCCTCACTTACTAGTAGGAACATGATGGTCTTGGCACAAAGACCAGGACTCAAACCTCTGGAGACAGTCTGAGACCTCAAGACATCTCCCCGAGGCCAGGCAGAGGCATCGTGGTGGGATGGAGCTGCGAGCCCAGTTTGTGTCAGGAATGCTTTCAAATTCACATTATTCATGAGCAGAACATTCACAGAAAGGAGAGAGGAGAGTGTGTCAAGCTGTGGGACTCCACAGGCCATTTTAATAATCTGTTCTGACACTGTGAACACAACATCTTGGTCTTTCACCAGGGTGCTGTTCCTGTGCTGAACAACTCGTTGTTGAACTCCAGTTTGTTGGGGTTTTTTTTTAGCATCATCTTGGTCAAAATACTGATTGTGCCTGAGCTTTTTGATAATGTTTCCTACTGATCAATTATCTCCAAAAATTGTTGCACTTATTTCTCCTTTGCATTTCTCCAACTGCTGCCTGCTGGGTCTGTGGTGCTGTGATCTGCTGTCTCACAGGCCTACTGGTGTCTCACAGCATCTCTTGGCACAGGTGACACTGGGAAGAACAAACAGTCATGACATTTTCAGCAATCCATGCTCCTGGTTCAGTAAAGCACTGGGTCAGCTCCTGCCTCTGGCAGCTCTCAGGGCCCACACTCATCCCTCATGGATGTGCTTTCTCAGGGTGCCCTCCTGGAGCCTTGGTGATGCAGAGCAGGGCACTTCAGAACTTGGGATTCACAAGTTGCTGAGGTCCAGTCCTGGTCAGGGAAGGAGAAAAACACAACCAGGGCAAAATTAATTAACTTCCTTCCCAAAGCCACTCCCAGCTGTCCAGCTGGCAGATCCTGAAAGGCATCACACAGATTCCCAGGGCCCGTGGCTCTGCCTGCTGAACGTGTGCTCCACCAGGACCTTCAGCAGAGATGGAGGAGCATCTGTGGCTGCAGCTGGAGCTTTCCTCTTGCACTCATCAGAAAGGTTGTGTCCCATGGACTGGGATCCCTCATTTGTCCAGTGCCTTTGACAGGTCATTTAACACCTGAATCCACCAGCAAAATGAGACCAAGGTCACTTGACCCCAGCTAGCCAGGAGCATGGACTGACACAGCTGTGACACACTCCTGCTCTCAGCTGGAACTGGCTTTGGGAGTCAGGAGAAAATATTTTCCCCATTGGCATTGGTAGCACTGGAGGAACCCGAGGAGCTGGACTGGTCACCAACTTGAACTTTGCCAAGTGTCACAGCAGAGCACTGTATCTCTGTGTTTCTGTGGCATGGAGTGGGAATGGGCAGCACAGGTTATCCCAGGCTGATCCCTCACTTCAGTGCTGGCACATGGCAGTGCTGTGTTTTCTGCAGCCACATGGGCAGAAATCCTCCATCACTCCGTGGAAAGACAGCACAGTTTGGGAAGGCACATCTGGAGTTTTGTTACACACTAAATCAAGGCCGTGGCAGGTGTGTAAAGCTGAGATTTCAGAGCCATTCGGACAGCTAATATATGTGGCAGTTGTTTATGCAAAGGAGTCACTGCTGAAATGAGGTCTGGAATGATTTGTTTTGTTTTTTAAATCCCTTTCTCTGAATTCATGTGATATTTGTGCAGCTACGAGGGAATAACCGAGTAGGATTCCCTGAGCTGTGTCCTCTTGCTGCAGGGAAGCTGCTCTGCAAATTCCCCTCTGAAGGCAGAAACCCCCTGTGTTTCTCCCCAAAGCCAGGTCACTCCTCCATGCTCTGCAAGACTCAGGAAGAAGGTGCAAAGGGACTGGAATATTTTGAGGCAGAAATCTGGTAATTCAGTCCCTTCTGAAAAAAAATGACATATTTGCAGGGTGAGTTGGCCACAGTCAGACCAGCCCTCAGTCACACTCCCAAACCCATTCCCTGATGCCACCTCAGTTATTCTGTGTGCTCTGCAGCGACAGGAGCATTTTTGTGGTTGTTTTAAAAGCTGAGCAGACCAAGATGATGTCCTAGAGGCCCATCATCCGCTCCAAGAAGAGGCCTCAACTCATGTGGCTGTTGTTTGTCTTCAAGGGGCACAAGTTGGGGCTGAGGGAGATTTTGGAGATTGTTCTAATGAGAATACATGCCTGGCAGCTGCCTGGAGGCATCTGCTTTTCTGGCAGGCCATATTTAATGGCATTTACTGTGTTCTCCTTTCGAGAAGAAACAACTGAGGGTGGCACAAATCAGCCACATTTCTGCTTTCTGGAGTCTGGCCCCGTGTTTGTGTCAGTGATGCTGCAGAAACCATGACAAGCTCTTGGCTCCACCAGTGTGGTCCTTACAAACCCGGGGAGTGCGTGTCACTGCAAAGACAAGTGCAGCCATGAAATCAGGAGGCAAACTAGCAATAATACAGTTTAATAATCTTGGGTGGTCCTCCCCACCACCCCAACTTGTCTTTCCTTCCGTAGAAATACTGGCTGCTCCTGTAGCATTGCTTTGCTGCCTCTGTTCCCTTCATGCCTCAATGTGCAAAACCCACGGAGGACGAACCGCTGTCAAGGCTGAAGTGGTTGGTTAAGAAAAAAAACTGTTTTGTTTCTAAAACTGGTAGATACGGTGCAAAAACTGTTGCTGGGTGACCTCCTGGGAGCAGGGAGATGTCACACTGACCAAGGCATTCACCTGGTGATGTGCAGAAGAGAGGTGGGGGGGGGGTTCAGGGTGGGCTGGTCAGAAATGTCCTTTCTGTAACAGCCTCCACTTCCATGATGTGCTTGGATCTCACTCTGTAGGCACTAACAGAGTGTTAGAAAACTCAAGAGGCAAAGACCACTGCTCCTATTCTAAGCTGAAGCTGCAAAAGCAAAGCAAAGCCCACGTCAGCCAGTCCCAGATAGAGAAATTCCCTGTCCTCATTTTTGGCCTCGCCTCGGGAATACCATTCACTGTGCGAAAGTGTGTGATTATTTCTGGAAAGAAAAGCTATTGAAGACTCAGTGCCAGTGTTGGCTTCGTTACAAATGCAGGGAGGAAACTGTCAAATAACTGCTTGTGTTTTCAGATGTACCACATGTGACTGGGGCCGTGTTAGAAAACATGATCCATCCCATGTAAATCATGAACCGTCGAACAAAAGTCCTATTTGTAAATTTGAATATTGGCAGCCAGCTTTCAGACTCTCAGGCTTGAAAATAGTTCTGGGATGCTTTGAGCAAGCACAGAAACACAGCGGGGCTCCTCCAGGTTCCCTTGGCCCTTGCCAAGTTTTGACTCAAACCCTCTCTGCCTGTATAAACTAGGAGAAAAACTAGAGTAAGGACCCCCAAATTTGGCTTGACACACAAATGAAGCGAAACCTGGCTCCAGGGAAATCTACTCCAAACAATATAATTTGTCAGGCTGACCGTATACTGTAATTCTACGAGGTATTCAATCACTTGTGTTAATTATTCCTGTTGGTTTGTCCCTCTTGAGAACACACAGTAAAAGAGGAACCCTGTAAGTGAATTGAATCTCAGTTTATATTATGTAGGTTTTCAAAACCCCATAACTTCTTAGGACTTATTTTGTGGGCAAGAGGCTTAAGCAAAAAGGCTTCAAGCCAGAATACCATGTCCTGAGATAGCAGGACATCTAAGGAAACTGCATTTTTAAGTGACCTGAGAGAATATAAATTGAGAGTTCAAACTGAAAGAGGGGAAAATCAGGTCAGATATAAGGAAAAAATTGTTCCCTGTGAGGGCTGTGAGGCCCTGGCACAGGTTACCCAGAGAAGCTGTGGCTGCCCCATCCCTGGAAGTGTCCCAGGCCAGGTTGGACGGGGCTTGGAGCAACCTGGGCTAGTGGAAGGTGTCCCTGCCCATAGCAGGGGATTGGAACAAGAAGAGCTTTAAGGTCCCTTCC